CTGCAGGTCAGTTGAATTTTATACTATGAAACCTAGTATATTGTAGTTGATATTCTAATAAAATCAAATTAGCATAGCAGCATTACCCCTGAAGGTGCATCATTGCATAGTGTGTAAACAAAGGTGTTACATTACAGTAGTGGACATGTATGATGTTTAAAGCTTCAGAGGGCTTCAGCAGTATTGGTGCTGGTGTTTCAATGGCCACATTTTGTTAAAAAACATGAGGCACCTCCTGTTTGACTGACACAAATATTTATTTCATTAATGCCGGGGGATAGATGTGTGAAAAGGGCTATAGGATTACAGCAAACAAGCATATTAGACACAAGCGTCTGACCACTACAGCAGCTAAATATATTTGGTAAAGGCCACTTTGAGCAAAATCCACTTGTTTACAATGAATAGAAAATTACTGAATATTTCTGCGCAGCTCTGTTGGTAAAAAATGAACACTGCAGAACATATTGTTTGTTAATCAACATAAATTACATACATTTCAATAAAATAATCCTTCATTAGTCCGACAGCTGGGATGTTTGCTTATTCTGCTGTAAATCACACGAGCCACCTCTAGACGATATATAAAACCAAATTCAAAGATTCAAGATTCAAATATTTTTATTGTCATTTACACATGCCCTGTGTATTGAAATTCTTGTGCTTGCCTTTTAAAATTAAAATTAAAATACAATATTTACATAAATGTACATGAAATAAAAAAATAAAAATGAGGTAAGGATAAGGCAGAAATGAGGTGAGGAGGAAAAGTGCAAAACTGAGCTGGTTGTAAAAGAAAATACTTAAATTAAATGAAATGAGTGCAATATAAATGAACAGTACAGTAACAGTAAGTGAAATTCTAACAAGCTAAAGTGCAGACCAGTTGTGGATTAGGTTTTAGAGTCCTCTCAGCTGTTGATGGCTTACTTATGTAACCAGTTACGTAAGTTCACATACAGGCATTGCGGTTAAAGCCTGCTAAAGAAATTTGAGGCATTAGAAGTAGGTCATAATTACCTAGTTTCAAACCTCATCCATCACGATGCTCCACAGAATGAACTCTGCCGCAAAACAAATGGGATCAAAGTTTTGGAATTCAACCCACATACCAGAGCTACTGCGGAGATTCAGGAAGCTGTCACATTCCAGTAAACACATGTGGAATTACCAGGGCAAGAACTCCTGGTCACCAGCCTAGCCAAATATTATCTCATAGAGAACAATACGACCCCCCCTTGCACACCAGAGATTGGCTGAAAGGGAGGAAGTGATGTATATTGACTTTTCATTTGTGTCTTGCTGACACTGCCCCGAAAAAAAAAAAGGAAAGAACCACGTCCAGCTGCTAAAACCTACAGGAAACAGCCGCACTGGACTCAACATGATTCAGCTGCATTCGCTTTTTCGAGTGAGTGTTTTCACCGAGCGCGTCCGTTGCTCTACAGACAAAAATTGCAAGTCATGCCCTGCTAAAGTAGCTAAATGAAACTGACCATTATCACAGTAATATTCCTCTAAAACGATTAGTGCAGTACATGCAATATAACCAAATGAGGCCTACAAATGGCATAGGTGCTCAAGTTAATGACATCCATGTACGCAATAAAATAAACATTATCCATCATTCCTGCTGATCTACCCGCATTAACGCTTGACCTACGCAAACATTCTTGTCTTGGCAATCATCCTCTCTATTTGTCCATCTATGGAGTCTGTCTCAGCCAGCACCTTGTCAGTCATAAAAGCGGAGGAGGAGGTGGGGGTGGAGGTGGTGGAGGAGGTGGAGGAGGAGGAGGAGGAGGAGGAGACGGAGGAGGGGATGAAAAAGAGTGCCATTACCAGTGTTCTGGACCCGTGTCTTCCCGGGGTGAATAATTACGTCTGACATGTCGTGAATAGGGAGGGACATTATCGCAGTGATCCTCTGTACCAACTCGGTGTGTTCCCATGCGCGCACACACACACACATACATTAGGGCCCCTCTGAATGATTTAGGGGGTCTGTTAATAATGCAGAGGCTCCTAGAGCTAATTAGGTAAGTAGCAGAGGGCGCCGGCTGTGATGGCTCAGCTCACTGATACGAGCTGTAAAGGAATGAAGCATCCACTGCACACGCATACTCTCACACAGAGTTTGGGTTTATGTTTCACCACATGCACACGCACACACACACACACACGCCGTAATCTCAATAATTGCCTTGATTCTTTTCAAAAGGGATGGATTAAATTTGCATTTGAGATTAAATTTCATTTATTGATGGTCGAGCAAAAAAAAAAACGGAGCGGCTTCACTATTGTACTTTCATTCAAGTATATTATCAATTATTGAGTGGATGAGGAAAGGAAAGAGGTCTGTGTGCGGTGGCCCTCAGGCATTTTGACAAACAACATCAAGGAGGTGGAAAGGCAACAGCGATCTTTGTTGCTCCCGGGGAAAAGAGAAAAAAAAAATCGATAGAAAGTGATTATCTTGAGAGGGCACAAGTGGAGAGCCGAGGTGGGCCTCGTCACGTGTGCGATCCCTCTCTTCCCGGCGCCAGAGCTGTCAGCCCTGTAAGAGCCGTGTCAGGGTGATTAGAGAGCAGCGCGGCCCAGACGGAGCACAGCCAACCTCCAGACAAGCCCTCCAGAGACGCAGCAGCAAAACAAGCCTCGGCCCAGGGTCAGGCCCCACTTTGTCAACCTCCCTGCAAGACGGGCCCCTCCAGCGCATAATCAGGGATCATCTCGTATAGGAGATTGCAGTGTGTGTGACACGTAGCTGTTTTATTGCACCTTTAGGGGAAAAATAATTTATATGCGAAGGTTGGCCCTCTCCAAAAAACAACGAGAACATTTATCTTCCCGCAGCGGTATGTAGACATTCATGTGATTTCTTTCTGAGATGTTGCTGATATTTTGGACTCTATATAGTTGAGTTGAATAGTATTGACTGCTTTTTTACGTACAACAATAATAATAATAATGTCATTTGGAGGAATCATGTACTGTATGCTGGAAAAAACAAGAGTGTTATTCCTTTAAAAGGTGTTGCTAGGAGAGGCATGAAATGCTATTTGTTGAAACATGATCTGATGAAGTGATTAAACCAGACCACACCGTACTTGCATGTTCAGTTACTATTTTACTAACAAAGTGGAGAATAACGGGTGACTGAAGTCAGAGTAGTATCACATCTCTACAGTTTACCTGGATCTCCACAGTCCGTAACTCCCCGCTTCCTACTTAAATGAGACGATAGGCCGTCCGGTTGAGGTTGACACTATGAGGTCACGTTGGAGTTTCAGAGGGGAGAAAACTTTACAAGTTTACACCTACTGATGTCAACTGAACCCTTGCGCTGATACTGGCGCCAATATCTTTAAAAACAAAGGATAAAACAAAGAGGACAATGACATCTGCCGACAATTCTGTTACAGGGAGATGATTCTATATTCAAGTTTTTCATCAAGGGGTTAAAACACACAAATCACACAAAAACCATCCAAAAACCCACGCGGAGCACAATATACAGTCCCCCAATCAGACAGGGAGGGGGATTCGTACAGGGATATCCACCATATAATCTCGTTTTTTTTTCTCCAAGCGTTTGCTTTTTTTTTTTTTTTCGAAGTCCCCCTGTAGCGCACACTTGTTGACAGATTGCTCATTAGTGTGACACAAACTTTCAGCGCCGTCTGCAGTTCCCGGGGTTCACCGGTTCCCTCTCATCCCGCAGCATAAGGGAAAGCCGCGTCCCGCCTGTTCTCTACCTGTGTGTGATAGCTGTGGCCTGGAGGTTGACGGTATCTAATCACAGCCTCAACAGGTGAGCAGAGGAGACGGTGCAGACAGCACGGCACCACATGGAATTCCTGCACTATCGTAATGCACATCGAGCCACACACAGATTTGTGATAAATGCACGGTATGCTGCTCTTGATGCTAAACATAGTAGATAATGCACGGTACATTTTCCTGGCCGCATGCTATCTAGTCCTCCGTGATTTAACGCAGGACACAAACCCCAGAACTCAGGTGTCCGTTCAAAACGTTACACAAACAATTTTTTTTTTCGCATTCGTCTTCATTCATTTCAGACATGGCGTTCCTCAGCGCGGCGTTTGAAGTCCTTTTTGACCTCGTCCTCACCTCAACAGCGCAGAAACCTCGTCAGACATAAAAGCCGTCAGATGGGGCAGAAGAAGCCAAAACCCCCCCAGGGGAAGGAAAGGCAGAGGAGTGGGAGGGTACCGAGGAGGTAGAAGGAGGAGGACGGGTGTCACTGTCTCTACAAAGCCCTCTTATCCTAGATATCAAAGCGTTGTACTCCCAGAATAAAACATTGTCAGAATGATATGACCTCACCACAGGGGAGGCTTGTCATATTCCAAAGTAAAAACAGGAAACAGAGAGAGAGAGAAAGGCAGTTTTATTATTGTAAAAGGGAGAAGGGGGATCTCGTGCGGTTTTGGCCGAGCTTTGGTGCACAACGGCGTTCTTAAAAGTGTGTTTTTGATATCATACAAAGAAACTATTGTGTCAGGCTTCATCCTCTCTGAGTGGAGCTCTGGGTGCACGGGACAGAGAAGGACATACGGCAAAACAAGTGACTGCCGGCCTCTCCCCAACTAGTCACATGACCAACGTGATCTCCAAAACCTGTTCGTAAAAATGTATACGAAAATCTTGAACATACAAATTTCGTAGTGATACCTACGAACTGCGGGGGTTAACCACGCCCCTTGAGTGAACAACATGGCGGACCATGTCGGATTCTTGAGTGAACGTCTCTCCGCCTCGCCGGATTTTTGGAGGGGGTTAGGGTTAGGATTCTATTCTTACAAGTTAACACTGATTTCTCGTTAAAAATGCAATCATAACACGTTTATTTTACATCGTTAGACTTCACAAAGTGTGTTTACGGGGTGCAGGTCCCCGTTCACTTTGAATAGGGTGACGTCATTTCGTATGTATCACTACGAAATTTGTATTTTCAAGATTTTCGTGTACATTTTTACGAACAGGTTTTGGAGATCAGGCTGCACATGACATGTCATTATGAACAAGGAGTACGTGGTAAAATAGCGCCATTGTTGTAATCGTCATTTACTTGTAACCTGTTGCTATGGATCCAAGTGTTTGCTGTCTTCTCCTTTTTTTTATTTGCTTACTGAAGAGGAAGCATTTAGGATGTAGGCCAGATGGGTACACAGCGCTATTGTATGGTTGACAGAGAGATGACCTTGTTGTGCCCGTGCACACGCATGTGTGTGTGTGTGTGTGTGTGTGTGTGTGTGTGTGTGTGTGTGTGTGTGTGTGTTTAATCAGACAGAGAGGGGGGATTAGAGACCAAGCACCTGGCAGGTGGAAACAGTCTGTACTCATCTGATGCCCTCCTGTCCTTCTGGGTCTCTCACACACACACACACACACACACAATATGTATCTCGGTCATGATACATGTTACATGTTACATGATACATGTTAAAACGCTTACAACCTGGAGTTTCCTAACTTTTGAGTAGCAAACGAGACAGATAGAGACGCGTTTTGTCGCTCGCGGATCGCCACACGTTGTGTAGCAGCTCGTCACGAGATGAATGTGAGTTGATGAACCAGAACCCTTGAGGCCCAAACGTACATGCGAAAAAAAACACATAGTGACAGAGCTTCAGGGAATGTCGCATTTTGTGGTGGTGATTAAAAGCTAACCAGCCATTCCGCATGATAAATATAGCAGTTTCGGTTTCCCTCCTAACACATTAATGACACCTTTTAACATTTGTGCGAAAGGTTTGGGAGGAATTCCTGTTAAGCGGTTTTGCGAGGTAAATTAAGCTAAAAAACATCAAGCTCAAAAATCATACAGCTGACTCCTGTCAGGCATCCCAATGGAGTACTAAGCACCCCATCTGTTATAGCCCGCTCAAAGATTGTAGCTCGAGTGGAGTCATGAGTGTTAAGTTAAAACAAACACAGTAATTACCTTAATTAAGATCTGGCAGATTCCTTTAGATTAAAAGATGCCTGCAGAAGATACTTGAGAGTTGATCAGAGACGAGAGAAAAGAGGATGAGGTCAAGGAGAACCAAATGAAAAAAAACAATACTAAAAAAAAGGGAAATACAGGAAGCTAAAAAGGAAATACGTTACGAAGAGGTGCAGGAAGCGGAGGAGAGCAGTCGTGGCGACTTTTTCTTTTCGGCTGCGTGAGGAGTAAATGGCTCTGCAGGCACCTGTCACTCTGAGAGGCCGGCATGGGACGATCAGCGATGATGACGGGGGCACGGACCTGTGTCAAGATGCTGAACCCAGCTGTCAATCAAACCACTCTGCCCTGTGGGATGACAAGGATGGGCCTTAATCCTGCTGTAGAGAGAGAGAGCGAGAGGGATAGAGAAGGAAAAGATTTGGTAAAAAGGAAAAGCAAAGAGCGAGCGTTTTGGGAGCTGATATTAGCTGAAGTTAATAACTAAAACGATGGTAATTTAACTTAATATGATATGGAAAAATACGACAGGGTATGACGTAAGCTCGTGAAGTGTTCTGTAAAAGGCAATGAAAATTGCGGCTATTCTCTTTTCAATGAACCAACTTGGGAAAAATGTTTTGCGTCCCTCTCCTTAGTAGGCCATATGACACTGTGTGAACCAGTCATTTGCAGGCCAGAAAGGCCAGTATGAGTCATCCTCCAGCTATCTAGGACCATACGGCCTCCCGGGAACACACAGGAATGACCAGGGAACCAGTACATAAGAGCACAATAGGAAAAAAAGACTCTAACCCACATTCGGTAATTCACTGGAGCTCCGGCAAGCTGTTTTCAATTAGCCTTCGATGATTCTCAGTGTTGGTCAACCGCATCATTTCAAGCAAATGAAACCATAACTTGAAGCCACAATGTTTGGTTTGGCCACAAGGAAATATGTGCTTCCCTCCTTTCTTTTGTCAGTGGTATACTCGCTGCAGAAGACCTTCAACATGCTTTTGTGGTCTTTTTCATGTATCACAGTTGTGTAACGACGTGGAAGTGACACACATGACACCTCATGCATTCGTCTGCTGGATGAAGTGAAGTACTGTGTTTCGATCCGTATTATTTCTGGAGGTAATCTGGTTTTAGTTGGGCAGCATATTCCTCTGAGGTCCACGTTGCGGCGACAATCACAATAATAATTTACATGTGACCAGTAAAGGAATAACCTCTGGTGCCTTGCTGCAGGGATATGGGGTCAAAGGTGGAGTTTTTAAATGTATGCGTGACAAAGAGAGGTGGAGAGAGAGAGAGAGAGAGAGAGAGAGAGACATGCACCAGCAGAGATACACTTCGTCACAGCTTTCAGGGGACAGTGTGAACCAAGAGCAAAAGCCAAAGATCGTTCGGGGCCCAGATGTACAGTGTCCCCGAGGTGATCACAGCCCTGACCTGACACTCCAGTGTCCCGGCGTGCTCGCAAGATGTGGGTCAACTGACATCTGTTTCTCACCACAGCCCGGGCTCAGCTCGGCCCGACCCAACCCTGCTGCCATATTCATCCTAATAACCACTCCCATAATCACCAGGGATTATTCTAATATTAGTGAGCACACACACACACACACACACACAGTGACTGCTCTGATTAAGGTATAGTGCTCCATATGTTTTTTTTGGAGTTTTTTTGCGAGGGATTTGTACGCTTTTTAGCCCTTCAGTGAAAAGCCTTGAAAAAGCCAGCTTAGAGAGGACTAAAGAGAGTCCCTGCATAAATAATATTGGAAAATAGCATGGGCATGGGGTTTAGGGAAAGGGGGGGGTCAAACCGGGCTGAGATGCTCACTGCCAGCAGAGGTGCTCCGCACCGATGTCTGGCCTTGAAGTTGGGCGTTGAGGGGGGGGGGGACTGCCGTGCGCTTTTCTTCCACCATGGCGGAGGGATTATGAACCACTGACAGGGATGTGTGAATCAAGATGGCACACTCACTACACAACAGGACTAGAAAGAGACACCGCGGGGGGCTGTCAAGACAGACCCAGAGTGAGCATGGGAGGATTACCATATAATGATGAAAGATGATGAAGACTGATGAATGGATTGTTGGCGCTTTAGCTGTGGGGGGGGGGGGGACGACATGCTTCTGTGAGGAACTTGACATTTCATGCATGGATGCCAAAGCTAAGGATTTCCAGTGCAAAGACATGTGTGGATTTTTGCCGCTGTTCTTCTTGAAGCGGATGATTTTCTTTTATGTCAGCTAGCTGTTTTTATTTATCCCTTTAGTGTAAACTCATTGTATTCCAGGCATTCCTGTGCTACACGTCCTTCTTTACATATTGTGCGTGAAATCATCTCTCTTCCCACTTTTTTTTTTTTCCTTAAAGGTCTATTTGTGGAAGTCATGGCCTGCTGGTGTTTACGATTCTCACTGGGCCCCTACTGCTGGTGTTTTTTCCCCACACACACACACACACACACGTACACACACAAACATGGTGGGTTCTTCCTGCTGACACTCAACTTCATTCTTTGCTGCAGCTGCATCGGTTGTCACCATGGAGACCTTGTTTATTACTTAACCCCCCCCCCACCTGCTCACCAACACACACACACACACATGCACAACCGTTATGGCAGAAAAATAGGCAGACTGCGTCTGACTCTGTGTTTGATTTGGTGTTATTGGGCCCCATCGGGATCACAGCCTCCAGCAAGCCCAGGCCCATATGCACAAACACACGCCCACAGCAGTTGGCCCGGGATGGATGCAGCAGGCCCGTGCTAAACACTGCGCCGTAAGCAGCACACCACCCTAATCACCTGCAGGCTGGTCTGGATAATGACATTTGTTAAGGCTTTAACTCGACCTGCGTGAGTGAGAGAGGGGCGGTCTGGCTGCGTTTCCTCTCAAACATCCCCGCTACAAAAAGAGAAACTAATAGCCGCACGAATCACCAAAGGCATCTTGATGGTGAGGCCTAACAATGAATATGCAAAGTGCTGTGTGCGTGTGTGTGTTTGTGAATACGGCGTGTGAGTATAGAGGGCGTTAGTGAAAGGCCATCCTGCTTAGCGGGCGGCAGCATGCAGGCAGGTTTTTCACGAGACAGGGAATCTGTTATGCAACATGTGAGTGCCTGCTAATCTCGCCGAACAGGCTGCTCCTCCTGGCCACCTCTCGGCCCGTGCACACACACACACACACACACACACACACAGATACGCACAGCTCCTGGCGATGTTTCTAGACGTGCATGGCTACACACCCAGGTGGCCTTAATGGGTTTAAAAGCCAAAGATTCTCCTGCGCTTCTGTCCAGAGTAGAGCCCTACAGTAGAGCATGTGACTGCACGGCGAAGCCGCGTGAGAGGTCAAGACGCCGGGAAGTCACCAAAACACACCACGTCGAAGGCCGCATTAAAGTTCTTATATGAGGAAAATATAAAGGAGCTTGAAACAATGTCTTTTTTTCTGTTCTGTTTAGACTGGTTGATAGTCAAAGAGAGTGTGTGTTGGCCAGCAGAGATACAAACAAAGGCATTTAAATGTCATTATAAAAGTTGCGGCGGGTTGGCTGACCCTTATTGATGGATTTGGCATTTGGCACTTGGCAGTAGGTAAAATTGGAGCCTGTGTCTGCAGCTCTACATCTGAAGCAAAGGTCATTAGGTGACCTATTGGCGTCAGGTGGTAACAAAGCTAACTCTCTGCATCGTTACTCAGCTTGTTGGCATATGTTGACAGGCTTCCAGCCGAGTGTCTCGGCCTGAAACAGACGCACACGTGCACACACACACACACACACACACACACACACACACACCTATATCCTCCATGCACACACCTGAGGTCCTGTCCAAAATTACCTCCAGCAATGACCTCCTCATCTGTAATTCCCTGATCTCACATGTGTTACTGCAGAGAGCTGCTCTGATGTGGACAGAAGAAGAAGAGCAGAGAGTTTGTTATTATTCCTTTAATTTACTGAGGAAAAGAAAAGGTAAAAAGTTATTATTAGCTTCATTCCACTCAGTTTGCACTCTGACAATGTGAGATGAACTAAACTCAGTCACTCAGCAAAGTGATGGAAGTGTGAGAATATTCACCACTGGCCCAAACTTGCAGCACAATGGCACAATAAACACTTTGATAGAAGCACAATCTGCAACTCGAGCAAAAACAAATAACACATTGATCCTTACAAGAGTTCTTTTGTCTGGGTTTGGTTCTGGATTCATGAACCGAACAAAACAATTGGTTCCAGATTGAGGCAGGCTTCTGTTCCCCCCAGGGGAGATGATTTAAATATATCAGAGGAGAGAGAAGCAGGAATAACTGTGGATGTGGTGAGAGTGCAATTGAGAGGGAAAGAATGAGTGAAATGGAGAAGAATTCAAACACGGCCGAAACATTTAAAGTGAATGGATGCATCAGAGCTGGATGCGAGGATGCAGGACAAGCGGATGAATTTGATCGTGCCAAACTTTTAATGAAGATGAAAGCGGAATAATAAGTGTGTATCGATGGTGATTTCTCTTTCATCGGATGGAGGCTGTTCTGACCTCATACTACTCAACATGACTACACAGCAGTTTCCTTTGTACTATTTTTAGATGCTCCATCTGTATGTGGATAGTAAGTCACAGGGTGTTAACGATTGAGGGGCGAGTGTGTGTGTGTGTGTGTGTGTGTCATTCGGGTTATCCAGATGTTTGGTTGAATGGGGGCTTCTTCATTTCCGAAAGATTAACAAGAATTTCCCATAACCCAACTCCAGGTCGGCTATCATAACAGTGCTCATGCTCCCTGGTATTCTTAAGGGACGGGGTGACACGTTGCAGCTGTTTGACAGCAAAATTGGTCTTTTTCGTTGATTGTTGTGGGAGTAGCAGGAGAACACCGATCGTCTCTCTCTCTCTATATATATATATATATATATATATATATATATATATATATATATATGGCTCTCTCTTTCAGAGTGTGCTTCATTCTTGAGAGGATGTACCAAAAAGGACCTGGCAAGGGTTTGGCTGAGGTCCAGCTGCCCTGACAAACATACACACACACACATTTGCACACAAACAAGGAACACTTAGTCCTCACCGTGGGTGATTACAAAGCCTTTCAAAATCATTTACACACACAAGCAGTCAAGCTGAAAACTAATTTGTCCCAACCTACACAAATACAAGGATACCCTCATTCACTGACACACGCATAAGCACTATCTCACACCAAATGATCCACATCCACAATAAGAGAGGTGAAAGGTGTGAGGACAGACAACACAAATACACACACACACAGACACACACAAACCATGTACACGCGCACACATACACACAAATAGCCATGTCCAATCTCCATTCTAAACGGTGATAAGTGACGGTAATTTGACATGACAGCCATGAACTGTAGTATCAAACAATATGAATCGGATGTGGTGAAAGGACACTGTGGCCTCAATCAACCAGTCATCAATTAACCAGTCAACTTATGGTTCTTAAAGTCCCAGTGAAGTGAAAGCTAGAGCGCATATGGCTTACTAGCGTGCTGCAGGGATGTACACTGTATAGAGAAAAAGATGTTAAGATATAACAAACTTCAAATCTCGTCTCAACTCTTCTCAAAAGTAAAACTAAGATTTCATTGATTGGATGGTGAAAGAGGAATTTATATGTTTGGTTGGCTAATTGCTCATTATAAGAGCTTGGACTCTGCATGAAGCAACAGATGCGACCACCAGGTAGACACGCTGCAGGAAGGAGGCGGTAGTGAAATGAGCATCCATGCAGGACACTCAAGGAGTGATAACAAACTGCTGCCGTGACATACAGGTGATGCATAGCACCAGCAGACAGACAGACAGTTCTCCGGTTGTTATGTCCCAGAGTTTAGTCCCTTGGCCATCTGACACCTCTTCCTGTTTGGACATCAGGCCCCTAAGGACACACACAGCTGGGGACGGGACAAAGCTAGCTCCCTCTGTTTGGATCCACGCACACACACACAGCGTCCCATATGAGGTCCTATATATCAGCCCTGTTGGTGACACATTCTCCTTTTCATGTGTGACCAGCAGCCCACGGTCACATGAGAGATGTAAGAGCAGCTGTCAGGAACACACAGAGGAGCATCTGTATATATGCATGTGCATGTTTTTGTCCATTTGGTCATGAGCAAAACAAGTTTCTTCTGACATCACCCTGTCATCGCTGTGAAACTGCATTTAGAAAATGACCATGGAGGAAAAATAAATGCAACAAATCAGTGTAAAACCACAGCTGCATGTCTGAGCCGGATGAGTCAACTGTCACAAAGCAAGGGGCCAAAACAAAGACAAAGCAAGGCCTAATCACTGCTTTGTTTGAAGCAGTTGTATTCAAATATAATATGTTTCCTCCAGCATGTAGACTACAGTTTGTTTTAGTTTGGGATTTAAGGTAAGAATGTGCACATCAAATGGATACTTCACAAGGTATTGATTGGAAATACCATAATACCACCAGTTTGCTTAACCAGTATAACAAATCCCACAATAAATCCCATTGCTGACTGGGTATTGGATGTCATATAACTTGCAGCTTGTCTAAAATGTTTTTCAAGGTTGTGTGCAATGCCATCAGCAAGATATTCTGACACTACACACAATAGTGTATATTTTGTGACAGCCGGGAAAGGCCTCTTTCTTTAACATGATAGTTCCTCTAAACTGCAATCATTTGCAAGGCTCAGACTTCAGGAAGTAACTGGACCCGATCAAGAATGAGTCTGGCACAAAAGCCTGTGTAAAACAGCAACGAACCCCATAACTTAAATAATTGTGTTGGGGAAGCATATCCCAGATTTCAACACAGCATTTCACTTTGTAATTGTCTCACGTAATAATATCTGTGCTTATGTGTTTCTGGTCATTTTGGTCATCATTCACATTTTTGACCAATCATTTCTATTAACTTTAAATTATTTTTTTGGTTACATTTACCGTCTGCACCAGAAATGGATGAACCGTGAATGAACATATTTCATGCTGGTCGTGAGTCCAAGCTGCTAGAAAAGGAACAAAAGTATTGGTTCTCCTCATTGATTCAGGTGGTAATCTTCATCAATTACAAGTGTATAATTTGAAAGTGTTTCCTCGTAAATTACCCCGATTAGAGTATTTTCACATTCCCGGTGTAGCTTTTAGGAAACGATAACTTTTAATACGCCTGCCTAGATTCATAACAGCATTTTCACCCATGATCTTGTGTCAGTAAGCTTTGGTGCATTTGCACCCTTGGGCTCTTTAACATTCAGCTTAGCGGAGCATTTTATCTCAGCCACACAAGGTCTTCTGATAAGCGAGGAGCCATGTGGTGCATTAGTTTAGCATCCCAGCCAGCCATGCTAGTAATTCCTGCTTTGATATGAGTGGACCTGTGGAGGACGGGGGGTGAAATATCCTATTCCGAAATACCAGTTAAGCTAGCCTTGATTTAAGTCTAGACGTGTGTGGGATGTAGAGGAAGAAGCACAGACTCCTCTCTGGGCCGCAGGATTAGAACGTTTACCTGCTAATGTGTTTAGGTACGACACACACACACACAGACTCTGATACACACAATGTAAATACCGTACATGGAAACATACATGGAAAAAGAGACACGTTTTGTGTACACAATTCCCAAAACATATATACCACTATAGATCCAGTACATTCGGCTGGCCTGGCCGTGCTTTGTGTATTTGTGGGTGCTGAGGTCTGCACCCATCTGCTCCTGTGTGTGTGTAATCTGCCACAGACAGGCTAGAGCGCTTAGAAGGGCCAGACTGCAAACACTGCAATGGGATGAGACACCTGCCACAGGGCTAAGACCAGAGCCCTGACGCACAAACACACACAGATGGAGGCCACAGTTACCACGGACAAAGCAGTCACTCCACTGCTGCCCAAGCGGTGAGACATCTCAGTTTTTTTTGTACTGTTTACGATGATAGTTTACATTGAGAGACCAGTATTTCCTGCAGGGTGTTGATTGTCGGCACCTGTGCCGCAACCAAACTAATTGGTTTGTATTAATTGTCAATGGAGAATTTGACGGTTCCAAAACCACAGCTCTCAAAATGCTCCCGGTGAGGAGGGAAAGAGATCCGCTTATCCTCGTCTTGAAGTCTAGCTTTGAGCATCTGCTGTCAGAGTGTCACGTCTGAATTTAGCAAATGCCCAGGCACGAGGTGGCTGCGTTCTAAATGCCCAATGCTCAAAGGAGTGTCTGTCGTGCCGCAGCTCGGCGTGCCAAATCAGAGCTGGCTAGTAGCTCCCCATAGGCGAACAGATGGCCATTACTATCATTTATAACTTATTAGGGCCTATAATCCTACCTGCGTCAAACACGCCCCAACGCTTAGGGCTGGCTCTCTTTTTTTTTTTTTTTGCCTCATTTAAAACAGTTCTATCTGCCAGAAAAGTCCTCTTCATGATTCTCTCCGTCTCTCTGCATTTGTAATCCGCAAACTGTTGGGAACAACAAGGACAAACTGGTGTGGGGTTGTCTTTTAAATCAAAAGTCAACCCGCCGTAGCGACAAAGAACAACTCTTGACAACGGGCAGGCCCGGGACACATGTGACATTTTACCATTCTTAAGATTGATTTTAAGAGACACGCGCATGTTTAATAAAATGCCGATGTAGTGCCAAAGTGATAATTCCCATTCTGCCTGATTTCTGCAGTCCTTCTCCCACTTTGTCAGTCTCTCTGTCTGGCTCCACAGAAGCAATCGTCAGTGATGCCTCACATCCACCACCCAAGCAGGTGTGGGCATTGACGTTTCTGCTGTGAACAGGCTGCATCTGTCATGTGGCAAAGCAGAAATAGCTCCAATCAATGTCCCCCTCGGACACACACGCACGCACACGCACACACACGGCCACGCTCGCACACACCCCTGGCTCCGCCGTTCTCCATCCAGCAAACAAGGATCTATGGAACAGACATTGTAAACCGCCCCTTCTCCCCCCGGGCAGTGCGGGGCGATCGATCAGCCCGTCTCGGAGGGTCAACGGGGCTGATGTATCCTCCTTGAACTTTACACTGACTTCAAAATAACTGACTCCAATTCCTCGCCCTCCCACCCGTCGCCATTTTGCTGCAGCTACTTTGTTGCGGCCATTTTGTGTCCCCCGCCATTTAGCACTCTATTGAGCTGTAGCTGGGGACGCCAAATGGAACGTGTGAAACCCCCCTCCTCCCCCACCCAGCACCACGCCCCATTATTTGTGACCGTTTGGATGACAGACAAATAGATGGGCAGACAAACCGGCAGACAGAGAGACAGAAGGAAGGCAGATGACCGGCTTTGATGAGCTTTATGGAGATAGCGGACAGACAGACAGACAGACAAATGTGTGTCTGCAAACATACAGACAGATAGACAGACAGAAGGTATATATATATATATATATATATATATATATACATGCGTGTTTGTGCCGGGCACGTGTATGCGCGCATGTGTGTGAGCGGATGTCAGACCAGGTTGTGTGTTCCTGCAGTGGCAGAGATGAGAGGAAGAGAACCGGAAGCTGCTCTCCTGGAGACAGATGGACTGCCATGCTGTGGACACACACACACACACACACACAGATACACACAACAGTACAGCCAACAACAGAACATATCAGAGCACGACTGATGAAAACATAAAAAAAACCACCAACACGCCGGCCTAAAAAGGGATGAAATACGCAAACAAAACTATACCCGCCAAAGTTCAATCCGCAGGGCATCAGCAGCATCAGCAGCATCCAAGTGTCTCTTGACTGCTGAGAACCTCCCGCGGTTCAATCCAGGAACTCAGCCTCGCTTGACGCAGTCGCACCTGAAAGGTAAAATCCACAATGAACACGGTGAGACGCTTGCTGACAAATATACATGACACGCTCGCGCTCATGACAGGTGTTAATCCTGCCTGCCTCAGGTATACGGTGACAACCTTCTCACACCCAACTTGAGAGCTCTGGCTGCACCAGGTTGTCACACAGGACGTGTTGTGCGCACACACGCACACACGCAGATTCTGCTTCTTCTCTTTACTTTTCCCAGTCTGTCTTTTGAACGGAGACACACAGGAAAGGGAAGGATGAGATGAGAGAGTCTTCGCAGACATCGACTCCAGCAGCGACAACAGCAGTATCACACCGTGTGTTTGGGTGTTTCTGCGAGCGTCTGCGAATGTGTGTGTGTGCCCGGGCGCGTGTGCTAGGTGTGTTTCACAGGATTGCCAACACATCTCCTCGCAGCGAGAGCCCTATAGGAACAGAGACATCTGTGGAGTGAAAGGACGCCAGCTTGCACGGCCGTCTCTGGAGAAAGAAGAGGATGGGAGGAGGAGAAGATGAGGAGGAGGAGGAGGAGGAAGAGGAAGAGGGAACGGGCAGAAGGATGGAGGACAGTCGGCAGGAGCTCCAAACGTTCATCCGATAATTACCGTCAGTCAATAATTGGAGTCCCGTCTAGTTCTGAACATGAAGAGCTGAACATTTTGCGTTTGAATAAGTTGCTCCATCAAGTATAGCAAAGAGTAGAAGAAGAAGTTAACTTTTCTCTAATCTAAGTAAAACAATTCTTGGAACAACTAAAAATGTACAGTATCATCTATGGGTTATCCCTTTAATTGATTTAAATGGGTGTCCGTTGTATTAAAAAACACTTTAACATGCAGATTTTTCTCTTTTGTTAGGTGTCGCCCTGTCATTGAGTGGGCTTAGAAATAAATGAAGTGGTGATTCGCTGCTTCATCACATCTTTGAAAATATAAACCTTTTAAAGAAAAGACTTAAAAGTATTGCTCATGCCTGCCTCAGCCACAAATCCATTGGAATAAAAGCACCTCGATGAAAAAAACATATTTTTCAAGCACCCTCGGTGAATGTCGGCAAATAGATATTGGAGGTTTGGCCTTCTTCAACAATTCATCCATAACTATGCAGCCGGGGACTTCTACCCGCAAATGGAGCTGATGACAATACAAGCAAATGTCCTCCTTGTGTGTACAAGCAAGTGCACTCAAGCAGATGTGCTCTGCAGACCTTGGGAGTGCGAGCCAGGGAACAGGACACAGGTGCACCTGCTCTGTGCTCTCGGTAAAAGGTCAGCCAAACTCAAAGAGGGATGTGACCTTCCAGCGCTTGTGTGTAAATGTTTGCGAGCCCGTCCAAAAAGCTGAAAGTGTGAGAGTTAGAATGAAATTAATATGTACCGGGGAGGGGGGGGGGGGTATTTGCTAAATGTGTGCAGCAGTGTATTCCTTGCAGCTCATCTGTTTTCCGCTAATCTTACTGAGACTTTTTTCCAAACAGCCATCGTTGCCACACGTGGCTCCGCGTCGGTTGCCCAAGTGCATTTCCAGCGATCTGAGCAGGTATACAGGAAAAAACATGTGCAGCCGGACCCCTGCCAGAGGAGACAGAAAGTCCGCAATGATGTTTCACCACATAGATTATGCAGATACCGCGGTATCAGGAACCACGGAACAGAGAGGGAGAGAAACGGGGGAGAAACGGAGAGAGAGAGAGAGACGGGGAGCCGGCGACAAACAAACACGGGCGGAAAGAAAGGACAGAGATGGGAGCGAACACAGGGAAAACGGAGCAAGCGTCAGCATGAGAGGGGAGGACATGAGAGACAGAGCGAGGGAAGTGAAGCGGGGAGGGGGTGTGCGCAGGCTACAGCTGGCAGAGGGATTCCCAGAGCCAACTGCCAGTGTAGAGGAGCTCCTTAACAACTTCACAGGACTCTCAGAAAGGAGCTTTAAAGTGGCCACATGGCCTGGCCAGCACAGCAGAGCAGAGCAGCAGGCTTTACTGGGGCTCTGCACACACACACACACACACACACACATCCGTGTGCAAAGCATTCACACACACACACACACACACACACACAAGCTCAAAAAGACTCAGCCTGCCAGCTGCTGACAGGGACAAGAGTGTCCAGAGCGATAAATCTGTGAGCATCTGTGTGTGTGTGTGTGTGTGTGTGTGTGTGTGTGTGTGAGAGGAGGGGTTAGGAAAGAAATAGCAAAAGAGCAAGAAGCCACTTCTAACCTCACACACGTGTAGTCAGCCGGAGGTCTGCGTGAAAATGTCAGGTTAGCCGTATGAGCTGCTTCTTCGATGTGTGCCGCATTGCCTACCCGCAGTCTCTTTCGTCTGCTTGCACGCTGCCTCTTTGCACAAAACACAAACCCCTACAACTGCTGTCCTCCTCTGCACCTGCAGCTTGCCTCCAGGAGGGAGGACACGTGCGCGCGGGACATGCTGTTCGGCAAAGCAGCTTTGCTTTTTCGCCGTTTGATTCTCCCCGATAGCAGCGAGCAGCGGCTGGTCATCTAATGGTTTCAACCAGCTAATCCTCGTAATTTTTGGAACCGCCGGCTGATCCTTTAAATGCCCGCGCTCGGTGCAAAGCAGAAATTGGTTCTTGTTGGTTTTTTTGTGTTCCGTTCAAATGCTCGATTAACATTATCCCTCTTTTGAGCCGAACTTTGAGGGAAGGATGGAGGGATTGAAATACGCCGGAGGAAAGGATGGACCGGGGGGGGAAAGGGGCAGTGGAGGAGATGCCATCACACAACCAGACTCAGACAAATATCTCCCTCCCTGCGTTCTCTCTCTCAAACCTTTACTGGACCCCTGTCTGCCTGGATGGGTAAGTTCTCCCGGGGTCCGCTCGGCCACAAAAGGTTTATCAGTCGTCTTTCCTTTATATTTTTTTCCCACCATCACTATGCCAGACCACCGCTATAGTAATGGCGGGGCATTAGCATTTCAAGGAGCTTCCATTAAGGAGGGCAAGAAAAGCTGCTCTCAGCAGGGGGAAATCCATTTTGTCCCAGGCTCCAACATCTGCTGCAGCCGTCCCAGCCAGAAGGACGCTGGGATAAAGCCGGAGAGCCCTCTGATTTACTGTAATGACAGACAGACAGATAGACAGGCAGAACGGATGACCATATGCGAAAGCGAGGGACAAAAAGGAAAAGACAAAAACAGCTTCTGTCTCACTGTCTGTCATTTTCTGGTGCTTTCCATGTGCATGTGTTGGTGGTGGTGATGAGAGGGGGGGGGGGGGGGGGGGCTCGGGAAAAAGCAAATCCCCCCATTTCGCTCTGCTGGGTCCAGTCCCTTTGAGTCCACCATTGGGGTGCAAAATTCCAAAAAAAAACAATATCTTGTAAGCAGCCTTCTAGTATCATTAAAAAAGTAATGACAGAAGCTTAAAGGGCCGCGGTGAGGGGACGTGGTCTTCTGAGAGAAGCTCACAGGCCGACAGGCTAGTTGCCATTGGGTCCCATGTAATGACTAAAAGACTTGAACCAAAAAGAGGAAGACAAGTCAAAGAGAGTAGCAGAGAGGCAGACGGAGGGAGACGCTGGGCCTTGATCCGCACCCAATCTGTGCCGCTTCTCGCTGCTCCCTCTATCTCCTTCATCCCTCCCACTATGGTCTCCAGTTTGCTTTGGTCTAAACCCACTAAGTCCCTCACTTAGGGACGCCTGAAGCCCGAACAGCACAGAGGTTTAGCTAGACTGCGAGTCGAAGCTTTTAGTAGACGAATCGACAGACGTAGACGCACGCAGCACGACCTTTAGGTCAAAACAAGTAGAGAATGTGTCTTTTAATCTTTGTAATAACTCATTATAATCACACCTCCACCCTTCTAATGAGTGTTGCAATATCAGGACCTTCTTCTCGACTTACATCAGGGCGCCGCAGCGCAGATATAAAAATATCTGCGGAAGCTTCGTAATTCTTCGGCGTGAGCCCTGCAGCTGTAGTCACAGACACTTGACAACCTCCGGGTTGCTGTGACACAACACAACACCACTGTGATGGATAATGACTGTTGCCACGCACCAAAACAAAAAACACACCAGCTGATAAACACTGTATTTCTTATTTTCACAGCACTGATAAGCCAGATAAGTCACACGAATGAATCGGTCTCCGCTGTGTATTGTCTTCTAGGGGGGAAGTCACAGGGACAAAGTGTCTGCTGGAGTTTGAACAGGGGGCCTCTTCTGGAAAAGGCTCTTAAAAGGAGTTTTCTTCACAAAAAAAGCACCTCAAGGTCTGTCTTAAGTCACATTCCCATAATCAATCAATAAAAGCTTGGTTTAATTTCTGTTTAATTCAGATATCGAACAAAGTCTGCCGCTAGCAGTAATTGTTTCCAGAGGTTCCAGGTTTCCAGAAGCTGCGCGATCGACCCAAACGGAGAAGCAGAGTGATGTCATCAAGTCGAGCCAAGGCATCGCATCTGTGGCCGACCAGGCGATTTGTGCACCTGCCGTTTTCAACACAACAAAGAGAGCCAATACATGTTAGCAGGGTGTTTGGAGCGTACACACACACACACACACACACACACACACACAGACACAGCAGCTGCTACACAAGTCCAACTGGACAAAACAATAAAAGTTGGATCACCATAATGTTTTGGATGGTACAGAAACCTGGTAAATTGTGAAAAAGCAATCTCTCTCTTTCTTTCACTGCCTGTCTGTCTCACTGTCTGTCTGTCTCCCTCTGTCTCTCTGTCTGTCTCCCTCTGTCTGTCTGTCTCTGGCGCCAGTCTCTGTTGCGATGCTTCAGTTCTTGCACAGCACCACCCTGACTGATGCCTTTTACTGTGTGGTCCAGATGCAAGTCATCCAGGCCACTTGCTCCACTGTTTACCAGTGGGTTACTTCTTACACTCACACGCACACACACGCACACACACGCACACACACACACACACAGATGACAGATCGGGCACCTCGGAGTCTGGTGCTGTTACAGATGAGGCACGCGTTGGCCTCGAGACATGGACTGAGGGTAAAATGTGTGTGTGTGTGTGTGTGTGTGTGTGTGTGTGTGTGTGTGTGTGTGTGTGTGTGTGTGTGTGTGTATGTGTGTGTGTGTGTGAAACAGAGAGAGAAAGTGCATAATAAGTACGAGCAGAAGGCTTAGAGTGTGCTACAGTCAGCAACACTTAAAAAGGAAGCCTTGTAGTGCTCTTCCCGCTACCGGATCATGTCCAGTGTCTACGCACAAAGACACAAGATACACACACATATACACGGAGCCAGATGGACAGCAGTGCTAAGGCTTAGTTTAATGACAAAAGGACCCTCAATCTGGACATGGATTTATCACTCACTTTAAAGTCCATCTGCGAGAAGTTTGGACCGAAAACACAACTGCTCAATCTCCCTGCGTTCCCCGGCTTGTGTTTGAGCAGCCCCCCCCTGCAGTGCAGACCACACTCACGCGCTTTCAGTCTCACACCCTCTCCTGCATCTGTAGCAAAATTGCAAAAGACGAATGTTTGAAAAAGAGAGAGGAAGGCTCAGCCTGGTGGCGATATCAAAGAGGAATGCAACCGTGGCTTTTATTCCCTGGGTTGTTGTTTTTTTTTTCGACCGGGGGGGCGCCCGGTGGCATGTGGGGTGGGGTGAGGAGAAGCTCGCTGCGAGGCAGATAGACAAGAAGAGTGACAGCACGGAGATAGACTAGCTACCTATTTATAGCCCTGGCCATCTGCAGAGCTCCCTCTTGTCTTTGGTCATCCTGTTCACAAAGGCTTGGAGGCAGATTCCAGCAGCCCAGCGCCCAGCCGCTCCATTCACTATTCATTCCAGAGCCGGCAGCACCATATGGATCCGGCCCCACTGCTGGGCCCTGGCCGGCCTGTTTCTCCCTCTCTATCTCTCTCTCTTCAGATTGACGGGGTAATGAAGCCTGGGTGGCTTGCAAAGTGCTCTCTTTTCTTTTCCGCCACCCCCCCCACCGCACCCCCCATCCTCCCCGCCCTCTTGTTCCCTTCTTCTTTCCCCACTTCTCCCTCTCAGAGATTGGCTTGAGCATGATCGGAGCCCCCCTGACCTGTGGATAGCGAGCCATTCCCATGTTGTGAGTGATACGCCCGCAACGGGGACGTCTACGTCTCGGCTCACTTGGACCTGAAATTGTACACTTACGTGATCCTATTACAGCAGCGTTAGCTATTGTACACCTTCAAGTGGACTCATATACATCCGTCGGATATGCGAAGAGCTGAAGGCAGCGTTGATACGGTGAGAAGGCGAGGCTGCTGAATCCTCGTCATCCCCTTCAACAGTGAATGTCAATCATTCAAAATGTCCGTTTTTCATAATCATCCGTGTCACAAAGATCGGTTAGTCCCAGAACACATCCTCTTTTTTTTCAGCTCACATCCCCTTTCCAGCTTGACCATTTCACTCGAATGAGGCCAAACTGGCAATAAAGCGGAAACGGAATCAGAGAAGGGGATTCCAAACGAGGACCCTGTTAATGATGCTACAAAGCGCGGCCCCTTGGGGGAAGTAAGAGGACTGTGAAACTGAACCCAAACAGGACTTCTGTCAGACTCCCTCTGTCCCACATGGTCCTTTAGTCCACTGACTTTTTATCATTTACAAATACGGCGTTTTAATCAAGCCCTGATAGTCGCGGCGCTTTAAACTGAACTGAAAATCAAGGCCTATTGTTCAGGTGGATAAAACTGGCAGACATCGAAGAACAACTCTGGTGACATTCTGTTTTATTTCCATGTTGTAATCAATTGCATGAAAAAGTACGTTTCATTCAAATGATTTTATTGTCGTGTCAGTTCTTCCAGCTATAATAACGCAACCTGCCTGAGACCAAAACTGAGAACAAATGGAAAGAGCTTCAAAAGTTCTCCCTCTGAATCAACACACACCTTTATTTTGCCCTCAAAATCCTAATCTTAAAAAAAAAGATTCATTTCATTAGAAACTTTTTATAAAGCGTAATGGGAACTGTAAGTCTGACAGACCAAACTTGGCTTTTGTTTAAATCCCACCTCCCTGAACAGAATGATGCCTGCATATTTATCAAACTCTGCCAGCTCCGAGAGTTTCATCTGCTAATTGCAGAGGGAGAGGAAAAATAACTGCGGCTGTGTGTATTTCTTGCGGTCATATTTTTAGAAGACGGATAGCGTTGAAAACGCATTAGCAGTCGCAGGTATCATTTCTCAGTTGTAGTGTGGCATTCACCTTGGGATCTGTGGAGCCCGAGGCCTAGGCCAGCCTAGTTAACCACGCATGCTGTGCTGGGCCCAACCTAATTAGGTGCCATCCCAATGTCAACACTGCTGCGTTCAGCGCCTGATAAAAGACAAGTCTTTTCCTCCTCTACTCACACTGTGAGAGGGCTACAAAGAGCCGTGTTAGAGAGACCCTACCATCTGCAAGCTCTCTGCTTGTGCGTGTAGTTATATGGGTGTGTGTGCGTGTGTGTGACAAATGCCCGCTGTCATTTTGCTTTCAACTTTCACATTTTAGCTGCAAAATGTGAGAAATAAAGCATCTTCCGGTTCCGCGACCAACTTCTTTATCATAAGAAGGGAACTGCCGACGGGGATTGAACGTTTAAATCAAAGCATGGATGCCGAAAAAATGTAAAAAATCTACCATACTTACCTAACATAATCACCTCCATCTAACTCGGTGCTCGGTACATACATTCAGATACAGCTGTGTCTCTTTCAGGGTGGATTCCGTGCCTGTGTATTTTGTCAATCCCGTCCCACTTCAAGTCTGTTTGCGCTCTGATTTCATACCAATGCATTTCATAATTTATTATTTCACCTCGCATCCTCAGCATCATTAAAGCAAACAAACATTTTGCACAGAGATCCCAATTAGGACCGATCAAATATGGCTCCTCAGGCACGGAGGCACGTGCGCGCACACACACACTCTCTCTCCGTGTCGCCTTTTTAATATGTCTTCAAAACCATCCACTAATTCCATTTATGCGGATAAAACACTCTCACAAATAGATTACCTGCTACATACGATCCCCTCTTTCACTGTGAAATTGTGGCACCGCGCCACATCCTCCCACTGCTTCATAGTCCATTAAAATACAGATGAGAGTGTTTTACAGCCTGGGCCAACAGCAACGCCTCCCAGCTAATCCACCAACAAACACAAACATCAGATGAATTATCTGTAATGGAGAGGACTCTGTTCTGGCACCGCTGACGGAGAAATGAAACAAAACATGAGTTTATTTTGGTAAATATTTGGATTTTGTTTTGATTCTGCTATTCATGTAACGTAATTAGCTGGCAAATATAGATCTGTATAGAAGCCCTTGATTTTTCCACAAGCCGGTGTTGGTGTTTTAAGGTTCCAGCGGTTCTTTCCGGCGCCGCTTCACGCGTGAACTAGATATGAGCAGAAAGCTCCTTCGCTTTCGGCATTTGAATTGAGTTCGTCGACTTCGAAACTTCTAGAATTGCACTTTAAAGACGAGAGGAACCCGCTCCCACGGATCCTCCATCCATCCATCCATCCATCCATCTATCCGCGGCCAGCAGCACACTTGACAGTTTCTCTGGCTCAGGAGCCAAGCAGACAATGCTGCTCTGACAAGCGAATCTCTCCCGTGTCGGAATCTCATCTACTTAAAGCACTATTTATTCAGCACACATCCTTTTAATGCCGAATTCTGGCAAGGGCGCATGAAATCCACCACCTTAATTCCATTAGCTTGTTACTCCAATAAATCCCAATAATCTAAAGCTAACTGCAACACATACGCAGAGTCTGGAAACGCACGAGCCATAGCCGCTCCCTCTGGGGCATTTTTAATAACACTAACAGCCTTTAAAGGTTGATTCATTCGACTGACATCAAAGTAAATGGCCACATTAACCTGTGTTGGCTGGCAGTAACGGTGGAGCTGGTCATGGCGGGAAAGTAAAAACTGGTGGCAATATGGAGCACAGCGGGTTTTGACGACTTAATCAAATTACATCACAAAGATTTGAAGATGCAACAGCTGAAGAAAGTTGTTATTCAAATACTCTTTTTTTTCTCTTCCCATGCTGCTGCTTGGTTTCCCACCATCCTGAATGGACCTTCTATCTGCTTCATCACAGTCCGCACGCAGGGCCGAAGCTATTGTTGATAAGAGACTTGAAGCTTCACTTAAAACGGGGCTTAGCCAAAGACCCGGCTCTTCATTTCAAAAGTGACCAGGCTTTTGTTAGTCAAAGTGTTGAGAGAGTCCTTTAAGATGCCCTTGGTGTGAGGGAGCAGATAAAACTGGGGAAAGTGAGCGAGGACGAAAAGGAACGGGGAGACAAAGAAAAGAGAGCGGGAGAAAACGATGACGCCGCGAGCCGGATAATCTGAGAGGGAAGAGAGCGTAAAAAGGGATATTAAAAGCATACCGAAAGAGAAAGGCATGAGAAAGTCTTTGCTGGTAGGTCTTATCCCACTGAGCCGATGAGATGGGTGGAGGGTGAGGAGGGGCGAGAGATAAGAGCCAAAGAGGATTAAGGCCGTGAGAACCGTTGTTGTTGTTGTTTTTGTGATCAGTTTGAGAAGCACTGCTTCTCAAATGATCCACCTGACCACTTCAAAATGCTCACGGCGGCAAGAAATATGCACGTGAGGGACGACAAGAGAAGCTCAGCGGCGGCGGCGGCCAGAGCACGTATTCAACCACTGTTTATTTGAAAGGTCTGGAAATTAAAAGTGTGTGAATGAAGAGAAGCTCACCAGAGCTTTTCAGTCAGACATCTTCTACATTGCTTAGGAGCATTTGCGGGGCTGAATATCCTGCGTCCCTTCTGGCTGAGGGAGGAAGCCGGAGAGAACCCACAAAGGCTCGGGGGAGAACGTGCAAACTTTATTTGAACCCATTACCTTCCTGCTGTGAGTTGACATTGCTAACCACCAAACCACTGTATCATTATTCTCTAATAATATCCATACGTCTGCTGAGAATTATCAACCAGTGGAGTGATCCAACTTCCTTATAAGTAAGGTAACTACACCGTGCATTGATTACATCACAAGGATTACAGAGATTTGCTTTGCAAGGTTACAAAGTGAATTCAGTCAATTTGTGTTTTAGCTTAGTGTTTTTTCCTTCACATCTGGGGAGGCGTGAAGAAAACTAAACGCCATAAGAGCTGTGAGGGTGAACCAAAACAGTCAAATTGAGGGCCGAAAAACCGAAACAGTGAGTTAAGACACTAAAACAGTGTGTAAAGGCCACGGAAACTGTAGAGGTGGCCTGAGGAGGGCTTTGACTTATGACCTCAATATTTTCAAGATCTTCCCTGCGTTCCAAGAGGTATGTAGAATGACCGTAATTGGGAAATAAAACGAATGACAGATTGAGTGAATGATTTGTGAAACAGCCGTAGTTGAAAATCTGGGCTTTCTGGTGCACTTACATTTCTCACACTGCAAACAAGTTACGCCTAAACGACGTTGGAAAGCATCTTGGCAGCTATGGTGTTATTCTATTTTTATTTCACTAATTATTTTGTTTGTATAAGTTCAGGCCATTTTTATTTAAACCCCAAAAAGCAGAAAAGGAAACTATAGTTTCTTCTGTCACGTGTTGAAGGGCCAGAAATGTGTGCGTGGCTTTCCCGGCACCCACAATTCACCAGAACCAGTTGTTCAAAGCAGCACCTACTTGCTCACAGCCTACATGGTGCACCCTTCCTCCAGACATCACACACATAACTTACCGTAATGGAAACAGAACAAGCACGGGTGGTCAAGCGCTGGCATGAGACAGACCAATGAATCAGACACGACCGACCTGTGCTCTGTTTTCACAGAAAGGACTGTGTTTCCTACATTAACTCCCTTCCCCCTGTGCTGTATAAATAGATACAGATTGAGTAAGAGCGAGAGGACTGTGGTCAGAGGGCTGTGAGTTATAAGGAAGTGGGCTCGGC